GGTGGCCACCCACCATATCCTGTTTGGTTGCAGAAGCCAAAAAAAGTCTCAGATTCTTAATGGAATGTGTGGGGAGGAAAATATGGAAGAACCAGTCCTTAAGGTGCCCAGTTCCCAAACTGTTTACAACAGGGGTGTGGATCTTTTTTCATCCCAAGGACTGCACCCCCTTAGGAACATCCTTCTGGGGTCACATGCCAGTAGTGGGCAGGGGCAGAGGCAAAAAGTAGATGAACAGATGTGAGTAAGGCTACATTCCAATCCATAGGTTTCTACATACACACACACACACACACACACACACACACACACACCCCTACCTACCTAGGCAAGAAAGAGGCATGATCACAGTTTAAGGACACATTACAGCCATGAAAAAAACACTTGAGGAAGCACAAATCAGGAGCAGTGGGGTTTCTGGCCTCTGGAAGAATCCTGAGGGCCAAACAGAGGCGTGGAGGGCCATATTTGAGCTGTGGGCCTAAGGCTCCCTGTCCCTGGTTTAGGGGTTTAAAGGTTAAAGCCGTTGCATTGAATTCTGGAAACAAAATTTTAACCAGTGTAGATAGTTCAAAATGAACACCGTATGTCTTGGCCCAGCCTGGCAGCAGCATTTTCCCACTAGCATGAAATTTCCAAACGCTTTCTAAGGACAGCCTTGCGTACAACATTTTGCAGTAGTCTTAACTAGAACATGAATGGCATTGATGAGCTCTACCTTTGTCAAGGAGTGTTGCCGTGGTGTACCAGCTGAAGCTGGAGAAAAAGCATCATCCCTAGACACTGATGCTGCCTGTACATACAAAAGAAGAGAAGGAGCTGTCCAAGATATAACCTTGATCTTTGGAAGGAGTGTGACACCATCCAAACAGGCTACACACCCAGCCACAGGTGGTCCACCCTCAACAGCACTTAACATTTTGTCTGAGTTCAGTTTCTACTTGTTCTGCCCCACCAGTCCTGATAGACAGGAGACTGTACTGCTGGATAACATGTAAATGAAAGAGAGCGGGGTATCATCTGCATACTGATGACTCTGCAGTCCAACTCTCCAGATGACTTCACCCAGTGGTTTCATATAGATGTTAAACAGCATGCTAAACAGCTACTTGAAGGCATCTTTTCAAATTATAATAACAAATACCTAGCATTTATATAATGCTTTTAAGGTGTTGAAAAACAGCTTCACGCATATCATCTCAACAATGCTTACAAGAGCCCTGTAAGGCGAGCCGTGTTTTTTATGCCCATATCACAGACAGGGTGGAGGCTAAGGCTTCAGAAGCAGTGATGTGCCTAAGGACGCCTCATAAATGTGGAGCTGGAGTGAGATTTTAATCAGGGACTTGTTAGCTCACCCTCTTGGCTGCTGCAGCACTCCTCATCTACATCAGTCTATACAAGATGCATTTTATGTTATTATCAGTGGCACTTCAACTTACTTATTTTATGTTAAGGGAAAACAACAAAAATGCGTATACAGTGGTACCTCGGGTTACAGACGCTTCAGGTTACAGACTCCGCTAACTCAGAAATAGTACCTCGGGTTAAGAACTTTGCTTCAGGATGAGAACAGAAATCATGCTCTGGCGGCGCGGTGGCAGTGGGAGGCCCCATTAGCTAAAGTGGTGCTTCAGGTTAAGAACAGTTTAAGGTTAAGAACGGACCTCCGGAATGAATTAAGTACTTAACTTTAGGTACCACTGTAGTAGTATCTATTAAACAAACAAATACATATCTGCACAATGGACAAGAAAGCACCTATAAGAGGTAAGGCTTGAAACTGAATTGATGAAAGTCAATATGTCTCTGTGTTGTAGTCAAAGTATTTTGAAGTATATGGTCATTTAGCTGTCTCTAAGTTGCTTAGGGTCTACCTACAACCTCCACCAACCTATAGTTATTGCTGTTAATGATAGATATCCTTAGCAGAAAGCCTAATCGCCAGAATCCCCGGTCTACAAGGTGAAGATTCCATTTATTGTACAGTATATATCATGCTTTCCATAACAAATTATGGTGCTGGCATCAAAAGGGGGATAACCTTTCTGAGTGTCCTCCAGCCAACCATTTTGTAATCGCTGTGCATGGAAAACACTGTTCCTTGAGGTCTTCATAGCTGCACTTCCATCTGGCAAGTTAGTTCTGTCCCATACTGTACTAGGAGATGTTTTAATGGGATTGGCATGGCACAAAAGTGTTGGTGTGCACTTGAGTCCCCAAGTTTGTCCAGATGTCAGAATTCCCTTCAGATGCTGTATCTGCTTCTTGAGGAGCTACTATTCTTGCTCTCTCCCTTGGAATTCTTAGTTTTGCACCCTAATCTAGCAGTTCCCTATGTTTACTAGGGCTCCATTGTGTAGTTAAAGAGCCCCTTTGAGCACTTACTGCTCATTTCATGTCCATGTCAGGAACTGTTCAATTACTGCAGGGGTGGAGAATCTGTGACCCTCCAAAAGTCATGGAGTCCATCTCTCATGAACCCTGGAATGTTGGCTATGCTGGTTGCGACTGATAGGAGTTGGAGTCTGACAACAACCAGAGGACCATCGGTTCCCCACTCCTGAATTAGATATGGGGGGGGGTGTCAGGTGATAAGTTTCATCATTCCACCACTGAGGTGAATGTTTAGGATTAGTATATTGACAAAAAAATATAGAGGCGTGAGAGAGAAATATATTTCTACCCATCTGAATCCAGCTCTGCAGTAATCCAATATTCTGCAAGGAGTCATTTTTATGCTATGTTGTTACCTAAGTATATTCCACAATAGGGAAAAGAAAAGAAAACCCTATCCGTGTGTGTGTGTGTGTGTGTGTGTGTGTGTGTGTGTAATCTCAAAGCCAACTTCTATTAATTTTGTCCTGGCTCATCCCCCCCCCCCCCCCCCCAGTACAGAAGCATTAAAAAAAATTGTGTCCGTTTCTCTTGATTAAGTAAATTTTGGTAAAAGAAGCCATGATTGACCAGACTAAGAGCAGAAAGGAGTGCAGCAGTGTGTAATTATTCACACTTAAGGGAGGGCATCATTTGCGGTGTCCCTGCCAGCTGTATTAAGCAGCAAGTGGCCAAGCATGCTGTACACTCACGCTGTGCAATTAGAGGGTGGGTGAGTGGGTCCTCTTCTATTGACGATGCCTTATTGTGGCTCCCACGTAATTTTCACCCTTGACATGGCCCGTCCCTTGTTCAAGTGATGACTGGTATTAGGTACATACAGCTTCTACTGGAGTGCTTCCAACTGATTTAGCATTTTTTTTAATGCTGTGTCTTGCAGCCTCAGTGTTTTATTTCCAACAATTCTCAGCCTGCCTCTATTTTTTTCCATACACATACATGGCCCCCCTTCACATATATGGAACTAGGCTTGCCAAGTCTGTGGAACCTTTCAACTATAGCAAGTTTAAAAATAAAAAATAAATAAAGTAATCAAACTTGTTCATCAGCTGGGTTTTCACAGCTCAAGTCAGAATTTGAAAGGATTCTTTGGCCAAAGAAAATAACAGACGTTAAGTAGCAGAGGGGCTTACTTAAATTGTAGAATAAATTTTGGCATTTGCAGAAGGCAGAGTTTCAAAACCTTATGTTTTCATTGTTGCTGACTCTGTTCAGTGAAAGGTCCATAGGAGAGAATCCAAACAAAAGATGACAATTACTGCAGTGAGAATAAATATGGGAAGACTTTGATCTTAATTTTTTTTAAACAAAGCAGATGTAAAACAAATTATTTTATAGCATTTGGTATCTTTGAAGCTTCAATAAGTGCAGTGCAGGATCTTTGGTAGAAGGGGGAGTCTCTATGGGATGCTCATCAGATTGCCACAGTATATTTAGGTAAACCCCATACATTTCTTATTGAGGGATCAATAAACTCTCCTTGTGATTCAATTTTAATATAAATTTGCATGTTATTTTTAGTTGCAGCTGAAGGAAACAACCATTATCTATTTATTAATCATTATCCAATACTGATGGTATTTCCACGTTATTTACCACAACCACCACCACAGTCCATGATTTCACCCAGGCATCAGTTTAGAACGTGCACAGTCTTTCCTGACTTGGATGTTATGGAGAAATAGAGCTGGGTATCATCAACATACTGGTGACACGTTGGTGCACGTCTTCTGATGACCAACCACAAGGCCCTTGTTCAGCAGCAGTGGAATAGCTTATTTGCCCCCACCACACCAACTGCTACTTGTTACCACTCATTGCATCTCTACAGCGTACCTGTTGCTCTAGAGCAGGGATAGGGAGTCTGTGGCCTTCCAGATTTTGCTGAACTACAGATCCCACAATCCCTGAGCATTGGTCACATTGGTTTAAGCTGATAGCAGTTGGAGCCCAGCAACATATGGAAGGCTGTCGATTCCCCATCATTGAGCTAGAGGTGCCTGTCTTTACAGAACCCTTAGGGGATGCTGTGATGGTTAAGCTGGGATAAAGCTGACACAAGCTTTTTAGAAAGATCCCAAGATTAATTTACTATCATCACACATATTGATAACATATATTTTTATCCCACTTTCCCTCACAAACTTTCCTGTAGTTTTAGACATGCTTAGGAACTAGACCCTCCTCTTCCTTTTTACAAGATGTTTGTTCTTGGCGGCTAAGAATGTATTTACCTTCATTTGCTTTAATCATGACTAAGGAAACTTGGACATTGTCACAGGCTCTCAGAACAGGACTGAGAGTATAATTGAAGAGAGTTAGCAAGCATGACAAACTATAGGAACATAGGATGCTTCTTTATACTGATGGGCCTACTGGTCCACCATGCTCAGCATTGTCTATACCAGGATTTCCCAAACTTGTGTCTCCAACTGTTTTTGGACTACAATTCCCATCATCCCTGACCACCAGTCCTGCTACCTAGGGATGATGGGAGATGTAGTCCAAAAGCAGCTGGAGACACAAGTTTGGAAAACCCTAGTCTATATGGAAAGACTGTGGCTCTCCAGGGTTTCAGAAAAGGGACATTTCCGAGTCGCGCCTGGAGATGCCAGGAATTTAACTTGCGACCTTCTACCTTCAAGGCAAATGCTCTGCCGCAGAGCTACAAGTCCTCTCCTTGCACATTTGCACATTATTTGCATGTCCTTCTAGATGATCACAGAAATCCATTAACAAACAGAATATGAGAAAGAATGAAATTGGGAACTCAGTGACAAAACTCGTTTTCATGCTTATTTCGTACGGATTCCTTCATACAATAATATCTTTTGCCCCAGAAGGCTTTTGAAAAATTCGGTCACAAAATAGCACAAGAATGCGCTTATTGTGGGTAAAAGTTGGAAGCATTGTTCTGATGACACCTGTAAAACATAATTATAGTTCCCATAGCTGTTTTCTCTCATATTTAGAGAGGAACATTCTTTGCCTCTAATCTCAGGTGCATACCTGTGGAAGGTTTAGGTTCCTTTAAACAGCATCAAAGTAATGACAACAGCGTGCAGCTGCTAACTGTCTTTTCCTTGTAGTTACTCGCCCAGCTGTTTAGAAAAAGAAGGAAGGGGGGGAGAGAGAGGAGAGAGCTGAGAGGGGGGGAAAAACTCTCTAATCTTACCATATGCCACGAAGTTTATTTGCCATGGTAAGTTAGAAATTTGCAGGATTGGTCAGCGTGGCCAATGTTAACTTTGTGCTTTGGGAGGGGACATAGGAAGGGAAAGAAGAACACCTGTGCAAGAGAAGAGGATGAGTCTGTTTAGGAAAGTAATTATAACTTCAGGTGCAGCTACTCTCAATTCTTTATATGATGGTAGACTTTCCTCTACAGTGCAGGACTAATCACTTTCCCATCTAGTCCTAAAAATCTGGAAGGAAGGCAGGCAGGACGGAAGGCCTGGTGCTTACTTTATTGGAATGTTCTTGTGACTGCTTCATCCCCATTGTTCCAGTTACACAATAATATTTTAACCATGTTGGGATGACTGCTAAAGTGGCATCACAGTGCTTTAAATGTATAATGTGGATGTGGCCCCAGTTTCCTGGGGTGGGTAGAGATATCCTGTAACTGGATATATGGTAGAGAAACCAGTAAGCTGCTACCTGTGGAACTGAACCATAGACAGGCAAGTAGCAGAGGTCCAGTATTATGTATACTTGGTCTGGTCTGGTCTTATGTTATGCCAATAATATAAGTAGAAAGGAACCATGTGAGATGCCTAAGTGATGTATCTCAGTTCAGCATTTTTAGCACCGGGGGGGTCGGGGGGGGGGACAATATTGGAATGGGGAATAGCCATGTTATGATTCAGGAAGTCCACATGATTCTTCATTATACATGTTGCCACGGTGGGTCAATCTAATGACAGATGAATGAGATCCCAAAAGTTTTTGTAGTCACCTTGTGGTAGACATATTTATTTTATTGTTTATCTGTTACCAGCATTTGATACCTCACTCTTCACACCAAACAACTGTGCAAATCGTGATCTCATGGACAATTAGATGTCCTTTAGCCTTAAGAATAAGTTCTTAATAATCTAGACATACACTTGTACCATCCACGAGACTTTTATGATGGTGTCAGCTTATGTGAATCCACCTTCAGGAATCTCAACGTTAAGCTACAGACATTCCACTAATCTTGTGAGTTTATACAGTGCAATGGCTCACATGCTCGAGATGCACCAGCATGCGTGGATGAAGCTCGAACAGAGTTCTTTAATTCAGCCTTTCTCAAACTGTGTTCTGGGAACCCTGTAGTTATATAAAGTAGTTTGAGAGTTTCCTCGAAGTAAAAACTTGTAATGGCAGAGAAGCTTGCATGATACATAATTTCAGCTGAGCTGCAGCCATGGAGTTTAAATGCTCTGCTCAAATAATTGTCCTGGGAATCCTTTCCCCTTCTTTCCTTTTCTCACTGTGCTTTACATGGATTAATCTAGTAGTGGCTGGTGGGGCAGGGCAGGCAGGAGGTTGTCGCTGCTGGTTACCAAGAAGGGTGAGGCAGCGGGGAGCTTGGACCAGTGCAGGTGCAGCAGGAGAGCCAGACACACCCTCTCAGCTCCCCTCCACCCTCACAGTAACCAGCAGTGACATACAATGTTGGGAAGCCGGGCAAGCAATGATGTCTTCTCAGCCCTGGCCCACTACTTGGTTAGATGGGTTTAATGGGCATCTTTGGTTATCTTCTAAGCACCTTTCACTGAGCTTCATCCAGGCAATGAGGGTTAAATATGCTCCTCCTGGTGTAGAGAGAAGAACTCTTTCCGAGAAGAGCCCAAGCCTTAAGGGTGATGAACAAAACAAAGGCTTCTCCCATCCAGGGAAATTGGCAGCAACATTTTTCAAAGTCTCAGAGTTGTGGTTATTAAAAGTTGCTACCCTAGCTGGCTTTTCCTTTCTTGCTTTCCTTATAATCAACTCCCTATCTCCCTTTTAAAAAAATGATTTTACTGCCAAAGTTTTGTTTAAAGTGAAGATTTCTGTGACTTCAAAAAGTTAGAGAGCCACTGTTGTGATGATGCAATAATGCAAATTATGTTATGTCATTGCTAACTTTCAAAAACCCTGGCATTATTTACCAGAAATTATGAGTGTTCTTCCAAACCTTGGCTGTGTCATTCCATTCTTCTTCTTTTTCCTTTCAAAAATTAAGTCTCAGCTGTTGCAATCAAATGCAACCCTCTTTGCTTTTATAGGTGCATATGTCAAGGGACTCGTGTACCCCCTCCCCTTAATTTTAGATCGGCTGATGAGAAAACGTCATCCTTACTGGGCTGTACCACTTGTAAATTGAGCCTGCAGCTGGACTTTTGGAGAGTTTATTTGTGGCCTGCAACACAATAGCTGTAAACTACTACTCCGCTGTACAATAAGAAAACTAAAGGCCAGAGCGGTCATCCAAAATAGGCCTCATTAGACACAGCATCCATATGGTAATAGCTTCAGCACAAGACATAAGGATGCCTGCCTTATTTGAAACAGTACTTATTGCAACACAAGCTCATTGGCAGCTAGGATCGATGCGTGGAATTTTGATGGCTTGATTTAAGCCATGCAGATCTTTCTGTATATGAAATACTCTGTTAAAGTCAGTAGAACTTTCTTCCAGTGTACAAAGTCTCAGGGTTGACCTACAGTCCTACATGTTATGTGGCAATCCATTTCCTGGTGGTGAGTCTCGATGCTCTGATTGTAACAGGTCCATATCACTTGTTGTGTAAAGACTAATGATGATATACAGCAGTTCAGCACCAGATGGATACCTCCAGGAATGTTTGGAGCTGGAGTGGAAACTTTCCATGTCACTGGGGGTTTCCACATGACAGATGGCATGATGCAACTCAGTGGGATATACAGGGATGCTACAGGGAATTGGCTCACTGTTCCTGACAGGCTAACATGGAGCTTGGCCCTGAGTCTCTGTTAAGACATCATGCCACCATTGTTCTGTATTCAGTAGCAGCTCCCAAGTTCTGTTATTGAAGACTCTCCCCTTTGGGGTCTTGTTTGCATTCTAAATTTTGCTATGTTCCTTTAGTGAGAAGAATGTCATGGGGCCACAGTTGAGAACCATTTTTTCTAAGAACACACACCGTTTTCTTCTCTTCAGTGAAATCATAGTAGGATATGAAATGCTTGGTATTTCTCATTAGGGTTAATAGGGAAGTTGACAAAGAATAATCTTTCCTAGCTAAGCATGCATTGACTCAGGGAGAGATTTTATTTGTTACATTTATATTCTAGCTTTCCTCTGTCGTGGAACTCAAGGCAGTTCACATGGGGTTCCCAGGCAGTCTCCCATCCATGCACTGACCTCTATATTTGCTTAACTTCAGCAAGGTTGCCTCATGTCTCATAAAATCATGAGCTGGAGGGAACTCCAAGAGCTGTCTATCCCAACTCCCTGGAATCGCAGCTAAAGAATTCCTGGTGGATGGCCGTTCAACTTTCATTTAGAAACCTCCAATGAAGGGGAGTCCACCACTTTCTGAGGGAGTTCCTTCCACTGTTCTTTCCTTCAGAAAATTCTTCCTAATGTTTAGTCATAATCTCCTTTCTTGCAATTTGAATACATTAGTTTGAGTTCTACCCTCTGGAGCAGCAGAAACTGAAATTGACAAATTCATCTGTTCCTAGAACACAATGGTATATGATACGATACAGAAGTCACCAGTGGGGCAGAGTGGGGTGAGGAGGTGTTGCTCACACGGCTTCCCACTTTGGAGGTCACTGCTGGTAACTGAGAGGAAGAGGGGCAAGGTGGTGAGGAGGCTGGTGTTGTGTGGGCACGGCAGAGGAGCCAATCTGATTTTGGTATCATGTAGGTTGTCCTATAGACAATGATATCTTGTATCATGATAACATCCAAAACCAAATCAGAGTAAGGAACAGGCTTCCTGAAACGTACATCTAGTATTGGGGTGTCTGCGGCACAGCTGCCATCACTGTCAGGATGGTTAAAAGGGGCAAAATGTGAGGAAATGTGTGGTTTTTTTGTTTTTGTTTTTGTTTTAAAAAAGATATATAAAAACCTCTATACAGACCTTCCCTCTCTCCTATCTTCTCCCCTTTAAGCCAAAAAGGTTCAGTTGAGAACCTTTGGTTCAATCTTTAAAATGATATATTATATTACTTTTTCCTAGGTTTGCATTTATCTGGGAATTTATGTTTGTGGTAGGGTTGTTTTAATTCATCTTAAATTATTTTCTCCAGTGTTTTTCTCTCTCCCAGTTTTGGCAGCATTTGCAGGCTCTCAGTAAATATTCTTTCCTTTAACTGAGGTGTCTTGTCAGGTTGATTGATAACTCTTTCTCCATTTTTTCTAGACAGGGTTTTAGTCACTTGCCTGCTGGCAAAAGCCACACCTAGTGTGGGATTAATCGATTATATGCTCCATGGTAGTGAGCAAGCTCTTAAGGAAGGGAATGTTTCCAAAGAGTTACACTTGGAGAAGAATTAAGCTATCCTGTGATTGATTTCCATATTTGCTGCTAAGGGCTTGGCTCGAGAAGGTGGTCTGTGAATCACATAGTTGTGTTTAGAAACTGAAAGTGTATGAGCAATGTCTGCAGACTTGTCACAGCTCAAAGTGCCGAATCTCAGTAATAGACCT